TTTTAATATCGGCCATTCAAGCTGAGAGTTAAGGACAATCAAGGAGAGAAATATTTAGGGGAGAGTAACTTATAATTTTATTTAGGATCTAAAAATGTATGTTGTTAAGATACTTTGATGGAAATCAAGAAGTAAAACGCCGAAGGAAAAACAGAATATAAAGTAGGAAAGATTTTAACTATTAATTCGTTATTCGAAAAGGAATGTAAGGATTCACTTATATATTCAAAACCTTTGATACGAATTCATAAAGAGAATTAATAAGTCTTTGTTATAACTTTGGCCAAAACATCATTTATGAATTATTACTTAAGATAATGTTGCATACCTTCTCGTGTAACAGAATATGAGATATATCAAAAAAAAGAAAAATCCTCTTAAATTGGAAATATTATATATACATTTTCAAGTTGCCTCAAAGAATGTTGTACAAGAGTAGATAAATTCTCAATAAATATGACTGAATTAGTAAATTAAGATATAGAAGCCTTATTAATGTTTGGTTGCTAGCAACTATACTATCAATAATATGAGCAAATGATAAATTTTTTTTGAACTTTAATTGTTTCAAAATATTTTTAGCAAATATCTTATCTTATTTTGTTTTTATTTGAATTTTCATTTGAATTTCTTTTAGATAAGGAAATGTAAATCTATAATTTTCTCTTAATTTTATTTACACATAAGCCATCCTTAAGAGATATTATATTATAATGTTTTAATGATAATAAAATATTTTGTAAAATTGAGCTCAAAGATTTTGTATATTTAGATGATTTCTAGTTGATGAAACAATTATTGAATTATTTATAATTTGAATGGAGAGATGGTTCCATTTATCCAGCAAATTATTTAAATTTTATTAACGAGAAAATCAGAAAAACCTCTCAATTAAATATAATAATAAGAAAGTCGATTTATAATGAAAACATAGTTTGTCCAAAATGATTAAGAATGAATATTCATCTGTAAACAAATTAAGTCCACATAATTAGCATTAAGATTATGGCTTTCATTTGGGATAGCTTATTAAATAATTAAATTTTTTATTATTGTTCTTTTTATTCAAATGTCATACTCTTTTATAATTGACTTAAATATCAGATTTTCCATCTTCAGTCCTTTTAAATTATATTCTCATCCACCAAAAATCTTTATCTATATACTTGCAAGATCCTTATTGAAATTTTTTTAACAAATCTCCCACTTCATAGACTTTTGCCTTGCTATTATATAAATCTAATTAAAATTACCCTTAATAATTTTAAATTATATTCACCCATAAACTTTTTTATCCACTCTCATTTTATATTCAATGAAAGAACAATTTATAATCATTTTATACAACCGCCAATAACTAGATCTTCTACATCCATCCAATTTTCCAATCCATTTTGCAATCTTTGTATTATTCTCTCCAAAATTTCCAATCTATGTCG